ACATAGATAGGGCTAATTTACTTAGGTGAACGAAGGTACCTATAGTGATAATTTTATATATCTAAGCAAGTAGCTTATTTAGACTAGGCTAGAGAGTATAGAGGTATTATATAGAAATCTATAGAGTAAGAATAGTTATTTCTTCTAGTATTATTCACTAGAAACTTTTAGCTAATTTACTATGAGTAAAAGGAATATTTATAATAATAACTTTTAGCACTCTATCCTTAGTATTATAGCTCTTCAGGAGATCTATTAGGATCATTTACTAAAACACTTTAATTAAGGTTTAAATACAAGAAGTATCTTGTTAAACTTTAAGTTATTATCGATAAAATAGCTAGAGTTATTGTCAGGGTGCGGGCTGGCAGGACGGTATGATAGGAGATGACTGGTAGGAACAGGTCATAACAGATCAGATTCCACTTGACAGGTACAGGCAGGGGCAGGCTATTATACAAGACGTAGCTCGAAGAGCTACAACAGGATCTAGAACTGAAGTTCAGATAAACAGGTCGGAGATCACGTGCCGTGATCTTCCTCTAACTAAGCATCACGGTTCGCACCGTGACAGTTATTCTAATAAAAGCTTAAGCGAAAGATAAGGTCTAGTAATGAAGGATAACTAATAGTTTTATATTAGAATAGAATCTCTAAAGGATACTCTTTAAACTAAGTTTAAAGCTTTAACCAAAAGAGATTAGAATCAATAGACAGTTTATTAGGACATAGAATTTTAATCATAGGACACTTAGTTAACCTAAGTAAATTAGCCCTATCTAAGTTATACAGTTTAATAGAGGCATTTTGTCAGGGTGCGGGCTGGCAGGACGGTGATAGGAGATGACTGGCAGGGACAGGTCGTAACAGATCAGATTCTCATTGACAGGTACAGGCACAGGCAGGGGCAGGCTAATATACAAGACGTAGCTCGAAGAGCTACAACAGGATCTAGAACTGAAGTTCAGATAAACAGGTCGGAGATCACGTGCCGTGATCTTCCTCTAACTAAGCATCACGGTTCGCACCGTGACACATTTTATTTAGAGGTAGCAATACGGAGAATTTAAATAGGACTAAATATAGAGTAAATTATAGAAGCACTAAATGACTAGGGCGCTTAAGGGGCTCTGTTTTTTTTTGCGACGGTGATACCACGAGAAATAACACTTGGGTTGAGAGATAGGTGCTCGGGTAGTCTTCACTTCACCAGGATTAACCCCTGTAATGGTAGCGCTCTACTTTATCACAATGTGGCCAGAAGCAACGAAAGACGACGGAAAGGGGTTGAGCAAAATAGCAGTTTAGACTATGCTGCCTAAAGGATGTCAATTGAAGGCAAGTTCTTGATACAATTTCTACTAGATCGCTAGGCTCTAGATTGATGCTGGGTATGGTTATTTGATAGGTGGTAGATAATTCTACCTCCATTCTACAATGTAACCCTCCTCCTTTCTCTGCTTTTGGCCTAGTGTGTTGTAAGCTCGACATTTTTTCAACTTTGACTACCCGACATCGATTGAATTGACTCTAGATGCTTATCTGGGATTAAATTAAACCTTCCTTATAGCTTTCGAGCTTTCGATGCTATTGAGATTATATAGTTTGATTTTAAACTGACACGCACTTCAAGGGCTTCAAGGCTGGCCTCGAAAACGACTTGATTGAGAGTCTGAAGGGCCGCACTCGTAGGGTGGCAGGGTTTTCTGTAAATCTGAAACCTAGTGATTATGTAGATATTTTCTCTTACGAGGCTCTCCTTCTTGATCATACTCGAATTATGATAATCTCCAAGAAATAATACTAGAAACACTACGGAGTTTGCCCGTGGAAACCCACTTTATTATGTTGTAGACAAGCATTTGAACTTGGACGACATGTCACATTCCTCTAATATCTTTTCCACTGACGCACCTGCCCAATTTGGAACTGCCTCATGTGTAATGGTTGTAGCCTTTCGTTTTGTTTTTTTTTCTTAGCGCTTTATGTGGGCCAGGACTGCAGGCAAATAATAAAGGTACCTGACCAGGGTTCGATCGAATCTAGCAGCCTTCCGAGACCCAGGGTTTGGGCGTTTATCGCACTCGTATTTCCACACTCCTGTTACAGTGGGGCTGTGGCGCAACAGACAACACTTGGACATTCACTTCTCACCTTTGTCTATGTAAAAGTTAGCACAATTGCAAGCCTCGATTGTACAATGGACACGCTAGATGACCGGGTTGAAAAAGAGAGGGGGGGGGAATGGAACCACGACAAACTCTCGCCTGGTTTATACAGCCGATTCCGGTCAGTCTGACACCTTCAGGTGTGGATAGCTTGGTCTAGCTTGGTGGATTGGGGAATGATATTACACCTTTGTTATATGGCTGCCTTAATGCTGATGGTCCAGCATGTATCGACTGAACAGGGGATTTCTTTCATTGAAGGGTCGGCCTTAAGATACTCTCAAAGCACTATAAATTAATTTGTGCACCCTTTGAAAGCACAAAGAGGTCATTGCTTGAACTGCGTGACACGCCTCAATCTTCTCTGTCGCGTTTCCATAATCGAAGATGAAGATGATCTATACAGTCGAGGTGGCATCCATCGATAAAATCCCTCCTTTGGTGGTTGGATCCATTCAATCCTTCTTGTACAGTCCTATTCTTCCGTCTCTGTTATCTTTATTTTATCTCTTTTGCACAGGCTCTTTGTTCTTCGATGCAGTCCATTACATGCTACATCAAACCAACAAATCATCTCATCCTCTTCTCCGACGTCTCGCACACATTCACCATTTCCACCATCTCTATTTTACTCGGCATATGAACTTCGATAATAAATATGCCTGGCAAAATATGACTCAAGCGCTGCCGCTTGAGTTGGGCCTTCAAGTCTCTGGGACCGCACTAGGTTATGTCTTCGCGACTTTGGTGACTCCTATCGGCCTTGTGTGGACAACACAAAGTCATCTCTGGTCAATCATTGGCATTCAAATCCTCAGAACAACCTTTGTTATGCTTGCGAGTGGCCGCGACTCGAATCATGTGGTATATAAAACTGCCCCCAAAGATCCGAATTGGATATTTGCTGGCCCGGAGTACCACGCCCTCCATCATGTTTACCCTGATCGCTACATGGGTTCATTTATCAAACTATTCGACTGGGTATGGGGTACTGCTTACTCCGTTCGAGGGAAACGATTCGTGATTACGGGCGGAGGCGGAGCTTTGGGTCAAGCTATTGTTGCAGAGCTTGAACAAGAAGGAGTACAGAACATTCGCAGCTTGGAGTTCGGCGTCGATTGGGATCATCAGCACTTCGCAAAGGCTATCGCAGCGCTTTCTGCGTGTGACGTCCTCATCTTAGCCCACGGTACCCAAGGCCAAGATGCAGTGGAATCGAATTGCAATTCAGCAGTCCAACTGGTGCGGCTATTCAAACAGAACAGATCTTTCAACCAAACCAGTCCCACGCTTCCGGAAGTGTGGTACATTGGTAGCGAAATCGAACTTCATCCATCTTTTGGAAAAGAACAGTTACAACGTTACTCCCAATCCAAACGGCGCTTTCTCCCACATGCTCGCTCTTTCTTTGACGATCCTGATATTATTTATCGCCATATTGTCCCATCAGTTTTTCAGTCACCCCTGGGGCTTGTTCCAGCAAGCTTGGTAGCTAGTTATACGATGTGCTGGATCCGGAGAGGTGCCCGGTACATCCCTGTTACATATACGGGAGTTGCATATCTGAACTATTTCAAGTTGATGTATTGGGTTCCTCGCGCGCAGGACACCGATCAAATGTGAAAACGCAGTGAAATTTCAAACCTTTCTCATGTTGTTCTATATTTTGTTATTAGAGGTTTTAAATGTTCAAATTTCAGTACAGATGCCATTTACAGCATTCTATCATTCTATCATCATGTATCTACACTTGTCTTTTTTACTGGATCCTTCATGGAATTACACAACGAAGTGGCTGCTTGCAAAGAGCTGTACCAGGTCTACTAGGGCTGTGATGTCAACTTGAATCATGCTGTGTTGAAGATGGTGTATGGACTCAGGATTGAAGTATTCAAGTTCCGGTGGCAAACAGGGGGAGAAATCGGATGCCCTGCTGTGATAGCCGAATGTTTCCGCTTGTTAAATATGTATGAATCCCTTTAAACCCGAGGGAATACAGGAGAAAGTGCGGACCGGACACATTAGAACCAATTGCACTTCGGTTGAGTCCCTAACGATCGCCATCAAAAATGCGCGATCAACAGCAGAACCCACTGTATCCAATTTCTCCACGTTCCTGTTCCTCCGATTTACAGATAACATCCAAACTTTAGGGGGCTGAAAGATTCAGATCCTGGTTTGAGCTGGGTTGATTCGTCTCGATGACATCAAACTAGAAAAGAGGGCTGTTATTAGATTTATGTAAGGTTCAATATATGAACATCTTCAAGCTCCACCGTCGATTGAATTGTAAGTCTACCCCCATCGTAGCAAGGCGTCAAATGGAAATCGCACGCAGAAGTGGTGTCCCTTTCACACCCAAGTGGAATCATGCACTAGTTGTCGGCACGTTGATTAAAGATCATCTACTCGGAACACGATTCTTTCTGCAGCGGGCTTTTTCATATTGAACAGTGCGCGTTCGGAAAAGCAAAGTCCCAGATCGTCCTATGAGTAGCACCTGTAACCACGTATTTGACCCGAGCACAAAGTTATAAATTCGAGCAATCTCAGCGGCTATGCTCTCATTCACTCTACGGGCGATCTATACATCCAGTCTTCGCAGTTGCAGCTTCTACAAGCTGTAAATCTCACCCAATATATCAAGCCGGTGTTTTGCAGACAAATGGCAGGCACTCAGCCAGCCAATCCAGAGGACCCTCATAAAAACTGCCTCTGCAGCCTCGTCGTAGGTGGTGAAGACTTCATGTCTGGTGAGAGCAATGACAGCTTCTTGAGATCAAGCGCAAGTAAGACATGAAAGTATGTTTAACTGGAGCGGTCTGAGTAGTGATGTGTGGAGCTTTCACCTGAAAACAGATAAAACTTTCGGACAATCTAAATTTGAATCTGCCACTTTATCGAAGGGGTTTGAGACTTGAGGAAAGTCTGGGTCCTAGTCTGTTGCACTCAATACTAGCTGGCACTCTCTTCTCACGGATTGTCGATTCCTATTTTCTCTCCTCTTTGATCTTCTGGGATTCATAGTTGGTGTTATAACTAGAATCGAAGAATCAGACATTCTAGCAACTAGTCGCAAATTTGCTAGAGATGTCCGTATACTCCTCCCTAAGATCTTCCAAGAGTGGCATAAGCTTCTTGTTCTCAGCCTTGGTTTGACCAGGAACAGTGTTCCCTTCTTAAAATTCACAGCCCTAAGCACCGAGTCATCACCGATATAACTATGACTCCCAGCTATATATCCATTTAACACACAGCAATCTCCAATAACAACGTTATCAAGAATGATGCATCGCGTGATCCGAGTACCGCTGTAAATCTTGGAGTTTAGGCCAATGCAAGATGCCTTAATAACAGAATTTCTCTCAATAATCACATTAAATCCAAGGAGGCAGTCTATTTTAAATCCATACCAGTTTGGACTCACAAATTCAGCGGAGGTGATCGTTCAGTCGTGGGAAAATGGAGACCGAGAAGCTCCATGTTCAGCCTCCTCAATGGATTGATTCTATTGTGGCTAGACGAAGAGATGTAGATAAAGATATAGCGGGGTGGTCAACTCGACATACAAGTACCGTAGATCCTGTATGAAGATATGCTAGGAGAGGTGGTGCGTTCGGGATGTTGTTTTGTGGTGGATGGTGGGTGATAGTACTCAATTCTCGGTAGACTTTCTCTTCGTGGCTTTCGTTCTGCTGGCTCAAGCGAGTATCCAGTCCTAGCTTCTCACACAGTCCCCGCTGCCATGCAGACTTGGCCCCGAACCCAATAACGTCTTCGCTAATAGGCAATAGTCTTTACTGACGCCGTGCGAGATCCGTGACCCAGAAGGGGAAAATGTAAAGGTGTGCATCGCGGTAGCCAGTCAACATTTTGGCTTGTGTGGATGGTCGCTGGGCAGCCGAATGAAGAAGAAGAAGAAACCCCTTTACCATGTTCGAGGTTTCTTTACACAGTGTCCATCTCGGTAGACATGAGCAGCTTCAAAAGCCTGTGACTCGATCTTGCAGATACCTTGGTCTGCCGCAGAAGTTCAACGGCTATCGGATCCAAGACCTTGTCCTTTGTGGCATCTCCTGCATGACAATACACACAAAGATCGCCTCGTTGGTGCGTTTTTTTTTCCTCGGTCATTACGGTCTGACCTTGAGGTGATATTCACATCTGCAATAGGTATGTGCCCTCGATTTCACAGACGAGATCACAAGACAGGAGGAAGAAGGCGGTTTCAATGCAAGACTGCACCTCGGGAAGGCGAAGCAACTGTGCCGTTGCCATTGTGGCTTGCAGGTCTTGAGGGGCGAGGACTTTTGGCATCGGAAGTGATTTCTAACATGGGGTTTACAACAAAGTAGACTTGATATGAGGAAGGGCAGAGGGGTGTATAATCAGTGTGACATCTGAATTAACGAGCCAACACTGGAAATGATCAGAATTTTGCGGTTCCAATAATCTAAAATCACCACTTATATCTGATATCTCACAGAACTTCAGCAAATAATGTATCAACGGTCTGTTGGCGATTAGGACTAGATATTTCGGGGTCTTGTCCTGATCAAGAAGAGTTCCAAAGGAGGCCCTAGGACCGCACAAGATCAGAGCTTGAAGCCCAGCTCTAGGTGGAAGAGCTCCCATTGTCTTGTCGATAGACTATAGCGAGATTTCTCGACGCACGTAGGATTACACGGTTGCTAAAAAGAGGAACAATTGTATGACGAAGACCGTTCTCCAAATGAAACTCCATACGCCCTGGTCTTCATATAGAAAGAGACACAAGTAATGATATACGATGAAAGCCTCGATGTTTCTCTACTTCTTTGTCGCTGGAGGTGGATCAGATGAAAGACAAGTGGATCACAGAAGCCCTGGGGCCCCGCCTGCCATCAAAGTTACCTAATCACCAACAGACCGAGGTCCGCGCAGAGAACCTGGAGAACCTTGGAACATTCCTGCTATATCAAGCTTGGAAGCATAAACAAATCTATTTGAGTGATCCAAACTGACCATCCCATTAAAAAGAAAAGAAAATGGCCACCCCAGAGTCCCAGGTCATGAGGCAACGCAAGCGCAGCGACTATGGCTTCCACCAAGTACACCAGACCCGATGGTCAGTAGCAGGACCACCGAACGGGCACCCGCCAACCAGATACTAACACCCACACTCACAGGTTTGATAACGATATGTATGCACACCTCAACAACGCAGTGTACACCCACCTGTTCGACACAATCGCGAATACGTACTTGATCCAACACTGCGGCATGGATCCCTTTAGTGTGAACAACCCAACTCCAGCGCCAACTCACGGACAGCCGTCCCATTTCCCCTCCCCATCGAATTTGACAGCTGGTACAGACCAAATTGGGTTGATTGTCTCGACACAGGCGCACTTCTTCGCCTCGGTGCGCTTCCCGGATCTGCTGGAGGTCGGGCTGCGCGTTAATAGGCTTAGCAAATCTAGCGTTACCTGGGAAGTGGGTATTTTCCGTAAGGGTGAGGAGGATGTTAAGATGGTTGGGACTTATACACATGTTTTTGTGTTGAGGAAGACCATGCGGGTTGGGAAGATGGGGATGGAGGAGCGGACCAGGCAGGGCTTGAAGAAGTTGCTTGTTAGAGCTGAGGCGAAATTGTGAGGCAAAAAATGTGAATTTCGGGCGATGGGCTGGGCTTGTAAATCATTTTCTTATCGGGATATGGGTAGCAACTTGCATTCCATGACAGTCGGATTAATTTCGGGTAATTGTTAGAAGGGATCCTAGATTTCAGATTGATCAAATGATCTTTGACAGAAATTCAAGAGAAAGTAAGCGATGTATAGCTCAGCAAAACGCTCTATCAATTGGTATGGAACAAATCACCCTAGGGATGCGAGACGCCGATGTGAGAAAAAGACAAAACCTTGCGCCTTGTCGATCAAGTAGATCATTTAAACCCCTGAATCGTTATAAGTCTATTCTAACCTTGGATCTATGAAACAAAAAGAACCCTAAAAAAAACGTATCCATCACCATGATTTAAAAATACAAGAACCGAACCGAAAACTTTTTGTGAGTTGTCATAAGAGTAAAAGAGACACGCTAAATCGCTTCACAATATCGAAAAGCGCCACAGAATGGGTATACATATATGATGGAATTTCCAATCATCATTTGAGGGATTGCCATCTGACAATTTCAGGGGTAATTTGTGACAAGCTCAGTCAAATTTGCCAGCGATGATGCTGCTGCAACGGGACACGTTGATACTGGAGGGAGGTGAGGCACCACGGCGCATGGTGCGTCCATCTTCATCGAGCCACCATTTGGGATAAGGGCCAAGAATTAGACTGCCCTGGGCATCCCAGCCAGCAACCCAGTGAATGCCGTCATCGAGGAGGAAAAAGCGCAGCTTTTCCGGACGGCCGCCCTTGTGTAGCGGGGTATCGAACCAGCGACAGCGTTCTTCCAGTTCGGATTCGAACATGTAGCGGTGGAGGATGCGGCAGTAGACTAGCGCAGCAGGGACTTTTTCATCTTTTTTGCACCCATCCCGACGGATGAGGTGCCATCCACGACCAGGAAGGAACTTGTATGTTCCCGGCACGGGGGATTGCCAGTGTTGTTCCTTAAGATCGCCATCGCGATGGCCTTTTTGGAACCAGTAGGTTGGGCAGAAAATGGCTCGCGCACAGAGGAAGAGGTTGGGGGCCATGATTGAGGATTGTGTCAAGGTCGAAAAGGGTATCTGGAAGGATGGTTTGTCCAAGAAGATGGAGGGGGGATGTCCAAGTTGATATAGAAACAGCACTGGAGTACAAAGGATCTCAAGGGCTAGAACGGTCTACAAGTCGACAGTCATGGTGAAAAGTCATGAAAATATCAATTGGTCAAAATCCAAGCAGAAATGGGAATTCGACGGGTCTCCCGCGTTCACAAAAGCTCGGTGAAGGCCCCCTGAGAACCTTTCGGGATGCAAAGAATGTGGAACGGCAGGCACCCGTGGCACGGGGTTGTAATCTGAGGCAAGGACTGGTTGAGAATGTCCAATTCAAATAGCACTGACCAGACAGCAAGGTGTATTCGTTATCGATGCGGTGAGGGGGTGGTGTGTTTCTAAGTCGGGAAAAGGGGGTCGTGATAAGATTGGAGGATTGTAGTTTTGGAGCTTGGGAGCCTTGAAGGGACAGCTTTATCCCTGGTCGCGGGAAAAGAGGATGGGAAGCGAATAGGGATGAAAAGGGCTTTGACTTGCGTCAATCGGCAGGACGCAGTAGAACTCGCACGGCCGGTGTTAGAGCTCAACGAGAGCGTGTGCTATAGATGGGGCATTTAACTGGAGGAATGTCGCCATGGTGATTCGTAGGCATATATGGAGAAAACAAATTAAGAATGTGTGTGATATATATTTGGCGGTCAGATGGTGGAACAAGAAAAAGTCAATCGACCCGCTCAGTTTGATCCGAGAGGTTGAGCCACAACTACGTAGCTCTGGGACTTTCCCGCGCCTTCAAGTGGCTGAGATGACTGAAACTGTGGATTATCTAACCGCTGACCTGAGAGATTTTCAGGTGCGGGACCTGCCGAGACTTAGCACTACCATCCTTTGGCTCGCGGGGGTTTTTTTCCTTCTCCCCTCATTATCCCGTTTAGGGCTGATCCCTTTCCTTTTCGTCATAGGCCCCCCCCCCCCCCCCCCAATTGATTTCCGACAGTTTCCAGAATCTTTTCTGACTCAAAAACAAAAGCCTCGAACACTTGGCACATATTCCCCAACGGGGAATCTCCAGGCTGCAAGATTTTTTTTTGTGGCGCAGCTATTCTTGAGGTTCAGCCCTATGTTATGTCTGCTTGGCCTTGTCTCAGCTTGCAAGACTGACCGAGTTCTATTCTAGCCTGGTCTATTTGAAGCTGATGGTCTAGTTTCTCATTCCTCAGGAAAGCGTTGTTGTCACGATCTTCGATTATTTGCGATGTACCGCTCGCTATGACCAGCATCACTGATTGGTGGTGTGTTGACTGCGTGCCGCATTTTTACAAGTTCATTATTACCATCAAGGCTTATTGTAATTCTTTCTACAGATACTCCGTATGCATGATCGCAATTCTGACTGTCGTGTCAATAAAACCAAAAATCATCGCTGTGCCACCTGGTCCAGAGCCTCGCAGCTACAGGCGATCGTCATGCCAACCCTTTCCAAATTTACAACATAACATGACGCAAGGCGTTTACAATAATCGAAACCTCTACTCCGTAGGAGCACGGAGTAGAGGAAAAGAGAGTTGTCTCCAAAACTATCTCCTTTAAGCAAGATAATGTGATGCCAATTTCTGTGATATCCCAAAGACTACTTCGTAGTCTTTTTTTGCTCTCCATCCTTCGAGCCCTTTCGAGTCATCAGGCTTTTTTTTTCAAACGGCCCAGCCCTGAACACAAGATGGATTTATCCCATCCAATGCATTTACTTCTAGTACTACGGTTGGCCCTTTTTCCTTTCCTACATGGGCCAAGAGTGCTCTAAACTCATTAAATTGAGTGCATGGCCAAGTCTAAAGAGGAATTCTAGACCACCACCATACTAGAATAACAAGAAATCCTGCGCCAAAACAAATCACTAGCACCTTTGTCAAGAGAAACGACCGGTCTGACTATCGTAGTATCACTGTTCAGCCAACCCTATACAACCCAAAGTTAATGTGGTGCAAATCGGTGTTGCTGTGAGAGTATAAGATAATATACGCACCAGATTTCAACGAGGCGCAAGGAAATGGGGCCCACTTTTGTTGAAGAATCCCACTCGACTAAAAAAGCCTACGTGTACAATATACGGAGTAGAGTCGTGTGAAACCCTGTTTCACCGTGCGCTCCCATTGACACATCAATGTCTCACTCCCTTTCGATGGAAGCCCTCGAGGGTCCAGGACGCCTCGTCTCACTTCCCGCAAGATTCTCCATGTCATCAGCCGAATACCAGCGATACTTCTTGCCTCTGAGCGGCATTTCTCTGCCCACGCCGTCAACCCCACCACCCTCCACACCAGTGGCGCCATAATCCATCCGGACCGCTTGTCGAAATCTTCGACCCCGTCTGGGCTATGCGCCAACCGGAGCGGAAATCGACCCGGTTCATCCATCGTGGCGTCCACGCGCCATACAGGGGCCAGCCCCAGAATGCAAGGTAGTTGCCTAAATGTGGATATGAGGACCGTGCCGGCGTGAGGTATGTGCGGAACCTGTTGGTCAGCGCCCATGTCCCAATTAAGCGTCACACCCGTCTGCGGTCCTGCGATGGATCCCTGAATTCACATGTCGACAGCTAGAAACCTCGCGGCGCCGAAAGCATCCTGTATTTGAAACCATCTTGGGTCTCGAGGCAAGGTTAGAGCTCGTCAGCGAGGCTCAACCCGATAGCGAAGAAGAGAAAGAGCGAGACGTAGCCCTGCAGCTAGAATCTTGGCGATGAGCACCAGGTCATTCCAGCCCTTGGCGGCCAGCGCCATAGTCTGTCTTACAGACGGCTCTCACCGCTGCCTCGCCCGCCGCTAGAAAAAGGCGATGACTGCACATTGGCGGGACCGTTGGAGCAAGTGGGATGAACACCGAGGCCATGGACTGGCAGACCTGAGTTGCCCGGAGACAGCGCTTGCTTTAGACTCATGTACTCGTCGTGCCATACGGGCATTTTGCCAAACTTGCCTCCGAATGAAGCTTGACAATGTAGCTTTGAGTGCCGATGGGCCAATGGGCCAGTATGCAACATATACAAGATCGCCTAAGAAAGGAGCGCAATCGCTGTGTGGGCCAAGGTCAGGAACATGACATGTGGCGTGCCGGAGGGTGCCGGAGGCGGATTTGATCTGTCTCAATCTTTTCTTCACTTCACAATTTCTCCCGGTCCTTCATCAAGGAATAATTAGAGGCATGACCATCTGTCGGGTCTGGTTCTCCTGTCAAAATTGGTTTTGGTCCTTGAAAATCGCTTGGATATGGAAGACCTTAAGTCGTCTAGGGCGAGAAGCATTCTCATGTTGCGTGCGGGTGAGATTGCGGGGTTTTATAGGGCGAACGTCATCATCTGCGCCTTGTTTGGGGCCATACTTTAAAAGCTTTCAAGTTGATATGCTCAAACTAGGACACATTAAATAGGCTCCGCATGGCCGTAGCGCCCTCTACATAGTGCCCCTGAACTTGTACAAAATTCCCCACATTTGGCTCATCGTGGTAATTCTAGGTCCTGCGGTTTTACTCTCATCGAAATAGTCTGTTTATGCTTCGTTATAGATGATTGTTTTCTTCATGCGGGAAGAGATAAATATCCCGAGGTCGTCTGTCAACTTACCCCAAAGAATGAAAGATATACTGACCATTATCTATTTATTTCTTTCCTGGCTTCATCCTGACTTTATACTGACTTAGATCAAGATAGTTGGTATGAGCCGAATCTACTGAATAGGAGCCACCAGCCTATGACTGTAATGTGAGTAAATCACGGCAAAATGTCATTTTTGCTGAGTCGCTGAAAGTTCTATACTTTTTCGCGAGGTCACAATCAAGAACCCAAAGCGAACCCAATGGGAAAAAATCTTTGAAAGTCAAACTCGTCCATTTCATCATGTGCCTCACCTTTGAAAATATCCTCTCACGGTCGAAGGCGTTAGCCTCAACCCATCAACGACCCATAGCCTCAACTTCAACCGGCCAATTCTCTGCCATCGCGGCTTTGGTTCCAGCAAAGAAGATCTCACCGATCTAACCATTCAGCCATAAACAAAACACAATGGCTTAATCGCCTAGGATGCCCCTGGCTGCGGCCACTCAGCAAGCAACATGCTTTCCGCAACAAATATCTCATTCCTTGTGGTGACCACTGAAGCCTTGCTCGCGCGCTTCAAGATAGGCAAATTCCACCTGCTGGGCCACTCAATGGGCGGGTTAACAGCCCTTCTCCTCGCTGATCAGCATCTAGACCATGTCCACAGCTCCGTGAACATCCAAGGCAACCTCGTACCAAAAGAGTACTTCCTCAGTCGTCAGATCTTCATATCATCAGCTGATTACAACGAGGCATTTATGGATGCTTTTGACGAGCGCACGCGCACCTTGGGCTCGCTTGCTAATGTTATTTATACAAGCACCCTGCGCGCCCGAGTCCGGGCTACTGCGGTCTGCCGGTATCTTTGAATCTATGGTGGAGATGACTGATCACGGGGACTTTATGGATAAGTTATTTGCATTATCATGCCCGTATAAGATTATGTTCGGGGAGGAAATGCGTGTTTTGTTGCCTCTGCCGTTACAACTTAGGGAGGGAGGGTATTGAATTGGCTGATGTTGTTGGGGGCTGGGCATTCCCGTGTGTGTGCTAACCCGGTAGAGATGTATCGCCGCATTTCGGTGTTCTTGGACCGGGACGCAGAGTGAGATCACATATACCGGAGTGCTCCGTATTCCGTCCCGTTGATTGAATTGTAGTAAAATCGGGTTCATCGTGGTAAGCCCACC